TTTTCCTAAACTGGCTGCCAGTCAAGGCCAGAGAATTAACTTTGGCCGAGAGCTGCTGGAGGAAAAATTATGGATTCATAAATTTTGCAAGGATATTTGTGCGAAAAAGAACGCACCGAACTAATCTATCTATCTATCTATCTATCTATCTATCTATCTATCTATCTATCTATCTCTGTCTACCGATCTACCTATCTATCTTTCTATCTTATTATGTTTATAAATCCCTGTATTGGACACCTCGGCGTTGCGTAATAGTTAGTAAAATTGTCTCCAGAGAACAATTACGACTGAGTAGTGAGTTTGATCCTCAAAATTTCAGTTTTGTGCCACATTTAAGCCGTGCATTTTTTGATTCATAAAACATTAGGCAGCATATAATTTATATACAAAGAAATAATCACGCATAGAATCAATCAGCAATATTAATGCTTTTATTGGAGATATCCATAGCTAGTAGTGTATAATGTATGCATTAACAGTATTTTAATGCATACATTATATGCTACTAGCGATGGATGTCGCCAATAATAGCATTGATTATTGCTGAATTGTATTATATATATGAATATTTATATATATATATATATATATATATATATATATATATATATATATATATCTATCTATCTACCTGTCTATCTACCTGTCTGTCTATCTGTTTATTTCTCTGTCGGTCTATCTGTCCGTCTATCTGTCTGTCTGTTTCACAAGTCTGCGCTGACAAGCCACGTGCACATCCATGAAGGTGCTTTAGTAAATTTATTTAAGCGCAGAATTATCTAGAAAAATCATATAGTAAAATAATCTAGAAAAATTTTCGAGAAAAAATCCACTAGAAAAATCGTCTCGAAAAATCATCTAGTAAAATTATCTAGAAAATCATCTAGAAAACATTAACTCGAAAAATCATCTAGAAAAAAATATATCGTAAAACATCCAAGATGCTAAAATGTTGTTAGCAAATAAAAGAATTTAGAAACGCTATTCTATATTCATAGGGACAACTCAGTTTTGTTTCTTGTTTAGAGATACTTTGTTTCAATAAATTCATTTTGTATTCTGTCTTGAAAAAGTCCACACAGGACGAAACGCATCGGCTAAAACTACAGTTTTCCTATTGTCTTTTTCCTTTACCTACACACGCACACACACACACACATACATACACACACACACACACACACACACACACATATATATATATATATATATATATATATGTATTTGAAAGCTTAATGATAAAATTATTACCACCTATAAACACACGTCTAAAATAATACATTACATCACCATCCATTTTAATCCATTGTTAAAGAATCTAACAAATATCTATCTAAGAGTACATATATAAAAATAGTTCCAGATTAAATAAATTGCCACCCCATTGTGTCGACTGACACTAAAAAAGCGAAAACATTAGATCTCATCCTACTACATACATAATTACGAACACAAGATACAACCCTATGCCCGTTTGTACAAACTAGAATTTTTACAAACTTAGATACATATACGGTTTTAATGCGCGTGATACATGACTGACTAATGAGAATCGGCCTAAACAATATAAAAATACCAGGGTTTCTGTCTGTCTGTTTTCTCTTAATCTCTGATGAAGCTTTAATAAAAGTGAAAGATGTTAGATTGATAAACGTTTCCTATTTGTTCTTTATCTGATCATCCTGTCGGATTCCAATCCCTATTTGATCTACATTTAATCTTTTAACACACACACACACACACACACACATATATATATATATATATATATATATATATATATATATATATATATATATATATAATACTTACCAGTATTACATTGATGATTGTAGAATCAATACAATACGTTTTGTTCGCACGTTTTAATACATACCTACTGTATACACATATATATGTATATCCACTTACACACACACACATATACACATGCATACATACATCTCTCTCTCTCTCTCTCTCTCTCTATATATATATATATATATATATATATATATATATATATATATATATAATGTATATTTAAGTAGAAAGAATTACTTTAAATGAACTTTGTTACATTACACATTGACAAGGTCTGTCTGTTTAATTTTTCATTGTATTTTCTCAAGAAAATTGGAAAAAATGCAATAAAAAATTCAACAGACAGACCTGGTTATTGAATTAAAAAATAACTTGGTTACATATATATATATATATATATATATATATATATATATATATATATATATATATATATATATATATATATATATAGTTTCATTAAAACGACTGAAAAGGTACTGGGGTTAATTTTTTTTATTCAATTTTTCTTTTGTTTCTATAATTTCCTTCATTTCTGGACATAAATTATGTAGAAATTGTCCGAATGCTCTGTATGTACAAGCGCTTTCGGCTATACTTTTAGCCATTATCAAGGAGTTTTTTTTTTTTTAACTGAATGTATGCATTGTTTATGTATGTATCTAGAGTTATAAGAATATTTTATTTTTTACAAACACGGTCAGTACATTTTTGCTGTGTTCATATTTAAAATTATTGAGTGTTGCTCTTTTCTTTTTTATTAGTAATGCTTCCATTATTTTTAGCCGTTTTTACATGTTGATGATGCTATTATATTTGTATTATAAACGAGTATGTTGCGGTTGGATTGTGGTAGGACTCTATGTGTATTTAAATGAGACTTAATTGAGCTATAGTCAGAGTGACGTAACGTGAGACTTCTTGCTACGTATGTTGTAGTATATTCAATCTAATTATTCATGAATTTGGTTTGATCAGAAGCTTAGTTCCTGAAGGGACATGTAAATTTGTAGATAATATTGTTCCTCTACAATTTTTATCTTGCAGGTAAGTTATTGCTGTTGATGATGAGGTTAGCCATTTTAAATTTTTTTTATCGCAGATAATTTATTTAATTTTCTTGTTTTTGTCGACTGGATTTTTGTATTTCTTTATAAAGTATCTTAGAGAAGATTCATCATGCTTATAGTTACAATGAATTTGATTTTTTATAGAAAATGTTAATATTATTGTTTTTAAATATTTTAAAATGTTAATATCATTGTATGTTCAATTTTGCCATTGATAAAAAATGGCTCATATGGTGAGTTATGAGATTTTCTCTCTTTAAAATATAGATTTATTATGGACAACAATAATATCTCTTATATATATATATATATATATATATATATATATATATATATATTAAAAAAAAAATTATAACATAAATATGTTATAAAATCACTACAAAAATAGCCATTTTGTTTCAGCATTTCTGGTGTCTTATCTAGTGATGGTGTTGAATGTAGAATAAAGAGTTTTTAAAAGTTTCAAATCAACCAAACACCCTTCGATAGGGGAAACGCTGTTACATAAGCTGCAATGACCAATCAAAATACAAGGATATGAAAATTCAAAAAACTTGACAACGAACCTTGGTTATAATAATTAATGCTTTAATGTTCGGATTAGACTAAAATAGAAATCATTCTGATTAATTTTAAATTTTACTACAAAATTGAAAATTAAAAATTAGCAATTTCAAATTTTCAATTTAACCTGTATTAAGTTTAAAATATTATAAAATTATTTAAAGAAGTTACTGAAGAAAAATACATATATTTTATTATTTATTTTGTTTTAATAGCAAAGCAAAATCTCGTCTTAGCTTGCAATTCACTGACACGATCACTTATAAATAGTTTGTCAGTAATATATGAAGAAACAGACAAAGAGAGAGAGAGAAAAAACAGAGAGAGAGAGAGAGAGAGATGAGAGAGAGAGAGAGTGTGTGTGTATATATTGACGGATATAGGAAACAACATATTATAGTAAATGTCAATTTCACCATACAGTGTTGATTCATTTGTTCCTTATATATATCTATAAACGTTCTATCTCCGATATAGTGCACTTTTCACCTATCAATACGACAAATTTTAAAAACTATATATATATATATATATATATATATATATATATATATATATATATATATATATATATGTTTGTGTGTGTGGTTTTATGCATGTGTGTGTGTGGGGGTGTGTTTCGCTTTACTTTGCATGCCAGAGACTTAGGGTATCATTTTATATATTTTGTTTCTATCTAAAGTGAAACAATCACCAATGCCGTGTTTGTTCCTATTTTCTTTTCTGTCTTTCTTAACAACTCACTCTCGAATTATTTACTTCATTTTCAATAGTGTTTGTCTTTTTCTTTTCTTTTTTCTTTTTCTTTTCTTTCCACTCAGCTTGGCGGTCAATATTCTTTTGCTGTTTGTTATTCTCAAGATGGTCAAAAAGAAACAAACCAAAAAATGGCTTTTTTCATTTTTCTTTTACTTTCCAGATAGATTTCTTTTCTTCCATTGTTTCTATTATTTCGCAGTGGTGGCTATTGTTGCATTTCATATTTTGTTGCTGCTTCAATTGTTATCTCGATTTGTGATACTTACGTGATAGGCAGATAGAGCAGGCAATGAATGTTTTAAAAAAATCTCTTAGCAACAATTCTTGTATTACAGAATAGAAAAAGCGCTCAGCACATCACACGACTGCTGAGTTACACTTAAATACATACAGTTGCATGCCATTTGCCGTAGAGCAATGAACAATCAATGTTTTTTTTATTGATTAATTTGTTTTTTACGGTTTATCATCCTTTTGCAATTATTTAAAGCCATAAAATATTTTCAGACTGTAAAAATTATTTACTAATAAAAGGGGAGAAGAGGTGAATTTATAACTTTCCTGGCGGTATTTGAGCGTAAATGAATATAACAAACTGACTGGAATTGAAACTCGGCTTTTTGATTATGCTGTTATCCATTACACCACCTCACATCCACGCTTGCAACACTTGGTATTCATAAGCAGTAACCCATCTAGATACTAACCTGGCTCGACGTTGCTTATCTTCGTTGATAGTGCGAGAACTGGTGTTTCAACGTGATATGGCTTTAAGCCAGTTACACCAAATCTACATACTCGCTTACAGCATTTTGTATTCCGAAGCGGTCACCCATCTAGATACTGACTAGGCTCGACGTTGCTTAACTTCAGTGATCGTACGTGAACTGGTGATTCAAAGTGATATGGCCGTATGCTCCTTACACTAACTGCCCATCCTAGCTTACAGCAGTTGGTATTCCGAAGCAGTCACCCATCTAGATACTGACTAGGCTCGACGTTGCTTAACTTCGGTGATCGTACGTGAACCAGTGTCGAATAAGCAAATTACTGTCAGCATCACCAAGCAACAGTTTAGTACAATTTTATTATCAGGAAAGTTTAATATATACATATATGAATATCTATCTATCTATCTATCTATCTATCTATCTATCTGCCTTGTTCGTTTCATACCTACATTCCTACCTTACAATAAATCAATCTTATTTATTATTTATCTTACTCTGACGAGCGGTTATACGTCTCTTCGAAACATCAAATCGGAAAATAAGTCATTTGAACTGTCATTTATCTATTCACTATTATTTATTATTTATATTCCCCTCCCCAACTCTAAGTTAAACTGTAAGACTTGTATCTGTCTATATATCTGAGATGAGGCATTATGTACATTATTTACATTATTCGGACTATTGTCCTCATCTTTGTCACTATATTTATTACAACGTTTCGGCCGTTGTACGCTCCAGCCTTCTTCAGGTGATTGGAATATCGATACAGTTCACAATGGAGAAAGAGAGTAACAACACACTCCCATTCCTGGATGTTCTAATATCTCGAACAGAGCATGGGTTCAAGACATCCGTATACCATAAACCGACATTCATCGGACAGTATCTCAATTTCAACTCCCACCATCCATACTGCGTAAAGAAAGGGATCGTCCGCTGCTTACAACACAGAGCAAAAGCCATAAGTGACGACCCAGAGACGTTAGATAAAGAATTGGTCAGTATAAGTAGTACCCTACAACATAACAACTACCCTGGGTACATGGCAGCAGCCCCAAAAAACTGGGATAGGCAGGTACAAGAGGAGGACAACAACACTCAGAAAACAGTCGGCCTACCTGATGTGAAGGGGTTATCAGAGAAAATACAAAGGATCTGTGGTCCATATAAAATCAGGACAACCTTCAAAAGTTTGACGACACTTCGCAGATATCTCTCCCGAGTAAGACCTCCTATAGAGGAAAACATGACTAAAGACCGTGTGTACGCTATCCCGTGCAGCTGCGGAAAGAAATATAAAGGGGAGACAGGCCGCCCCCTTAAGGTAAGGCTTCAAGAACACCAGAAAGCTGTAACCCGAAGGTTAGTGGAAAAATCAGGTGTGGCTGACCAAATATGGAGAGAGAAGGTAGATGACTACCCTCTGTGGGAACAGGTTGAGATCATAGACAAGGAACACCATTGAAAAATTCGTAAACTTAAGGAATCAGCACATATGCTAGGCCACAAAAATCTCCTGAGCCGACCAAGCATAGAAATGAATACAATATGGGAACCAGTAATAAGGGGTGCCAGAGGAAAGCAATAATAATAATAAAAGGTGCAATATGAGCTCTGGTAAAAACATGGAATGGTAACAGCAAAAATTACGATATGAGCACTGGTAAAAATGGTTGCTGAAGACATTAGGTTTATAATACCCAGAAATTCATACACATATGTCCTCAATGACACATGGCACAATGGATAAAGGCGTTGGTTAGATCCAGTGAAAGGATCCAAAGAGTGTGAGTTCAATATCCGGTTAAGGAGAACTTTCAGTGGGAAATTAACAGGAAATAACTGATAACTGGCATCCATTAAACATGGCAAGTGGAACTAGAACAGTCTACCCCAGTTGGCGAAATAAAGGATTCAGTTTGACATTCCAACCACCTGAAGAAGGCCGGAGCGTACAATGGCCGAAATGTTGTGATAAGTATGGCGACAAAGATGAGGACGATAGTCCGAATAATGCAAATAATGTAAGACTCCAGTGCTATTCCCAAAAAAATTATTAATGTAATATTCACTCGAAAAAATAAATTATTATTACAATCCCCAAAACATATTTCGGCTTTGAATAACCCACAAAGGGGTGATAAGCCGTAAAAATAAAACCAATCATAAAATAAATCGATAGATAAAGAAGAGAAGCAACAAAGAATCATTATTTGGTTCATACCGCCATTGAATACCGGGATAAAACCGAAAACAGGACTTTGTTGAAAAAATGCTACCCTAAAGGACCGAAGTTGTCAAAGATTTTCCGTAGGAATACTATAAAAATAAGTTACCTTTCTATTCACAATGTAGAAAAACATAAGTGGTAAGAGAAGATACAAAAGGAATAATAAGGGGCAAAGCCGAAATCCAAATATGTGTGCTCTTAATGGAAATTGGCAGATTAGAGATGTGCTATGTCCGGCAATAATAAGGGATGAGGGTTATCAAGATAAAATAAAGAGAAGAGCCGTTTAAACCAGATATTATAAGCATAAAATGTCTATGGAGACAGCCCAATTACAAGTGTAGTATCACACATTCAAGGTACATATGGGAGTTAAATAAAAATGATATGCCGACAACGGAAAATAAGAAATAATCAAAAAGACAATGAGTTATAGAATGGGCTGAAAGTTTGCCGGTTATTTTTAAAGAAGAAATTAGCAATAATAATATTCAAAACTTTAAGAACATGCTAAGCAAAAGATGTGAAGGTAGGAAAACATTAAGACGAGAGAATGTTCCTACTCACACAGTGGGAACCCCCAGGAATTGGAGAGAAAATGGGGTAAAAAAAAACCATTAATGGTAAAATGTTAAATAAGAATCGGATATGAATTTCGTTTCGTTTCGCAGCGGAACGGAGGCGGGATATTTAAATATGACATGGCGTGAGGTATACTGATAAAGTAAACTGGACGTAACAAAACTATAACAAGAATTCTAACTTCTCTCCGTGGAACAATGATTTCATCTCGCATAAAGAACTCGAGCAGCCTAGTTGAAAAACTATGAGATATGAATATGACCGGCAAACAAATTGCCAGGCTAGTTATAACATCCCTCTACACAACGTCACCGTCGAAAAATGCGTAAATCTTCTAAAAATTATTTAACACAATCAAAGAAAAAAAATCTCTCTACCAACAGCTAGAATAATAAAAAATTGCTATTTCAACACAAATCAATGATATTTCACATTTAATAAAGATTTTTATAAAGAAAAATTTGGATTACAATGGGATCACCTCTCAGTGGAATGATGGCATGTATCTTATTAGAATTTTTCGAATCCGGTCATTTCCAAAATATTTTATAGATGATGCTCTACTTATATATCTTCATAATACGTATTTACCTGACCTTGTAGATCAACTAAACAAACATACAATAGAATTTACATACGAAATGGAAGAACACAATTCTTTACCCTGCCTCGATATCAAACTACCCCTTATTAACAACAGTATAAACTAGATGTCCACCGGAAATCAAACAACACAAATGACCTAATAGATTTCTGTTCCCATCATAACAACAAAAGTAAATCGGGCATAATCATTGGATTTTGCCTCAGAGCTCTGAGAATATACACCTCGGATTATTTACTCGAAGAAGAGAAATAAATTCTCCAGTATCTTAATTATTTTATATTCAATTCGAAACAAAAGACCAACAAAATATTCCAAAACAAAAAAATGGCCACTCATAAGAAACCTAATGAATCAGAAAAATATATTATCCTGCCTAGTAATACTATCCCATCTATAATCAAAAAGTAACTATGTAAACGTAACATAAAATTCGTTACTACGACATCCAAATCAATAAAAGACTTAGTCAATGCTAAACTAAGCAATAAGCTAAAATATGAAGGAGCAGTTTACTCGATCGCCTGTAATATTTCTCACAAAAAATACATAGGAGAAACCGCAAGGAATCTAAATAAAGGATTATATGAATACAAAAGGGACATTTTACAAAATAATACATCAAATGCATTGGTTGTCCACCGTAGCGAGATTGACCACAACTTTGACATAAAAATGCTAACAAGATCATAGGAGAAAATAATTCACTACGACGTAAACATCTAGAGAGTGCTTTGCAAGGCCATCTACAGTAAATTTGCGCCTTGGTTCTTACGACATTTCACCATTCCTTCAGATGTTCTAAATCATATTGTGGGAAAACTACACATTTATTAATGCAATTTAAAAGCAAAATGAAATCATCCTTGAAAAAAAAGTATTTTTCGGAATTACAACATTTTGTTTACCCGACCATGCCCAGAAGAAAAAACACTTTTCCGAACACAAGAAAAATTAAATTAAAAGCTTAATCATCTTTATGTCGTCTTTAATTTTTAATGTAATTTATGAATGATTGCTGCCATTATTTTTATATATATATATATATCTTAAGTTGACTTATATCAGTTTAACATGTAATTGTTAGCTGATATTCCTTTTAATATTTGTGTATTTAATGTTCTTTAAGTACTGAATTATGTGAAATTGCCAAGAAAAGAATTTCGGTCGAAAAATATATATTTGTTATACAAAATAAGTGCGCTTATTACATAATTAAACTAGAGTAAGTCAGAAACATATATATATGTTGATGTTTGCTATCAATTTAAATATTTAATTTTTTAAACAAATAGTTTAGGGATTTAATAGATTTTTATATTTATTAAACATTTATTTAGAACATATTAAAAATATATTTAAAATTTAACGTTTGTTTACCCGACCAATCGTATTTTTTAATATTGTAAAAAATAGTTACGTAACATCTTTTTAGTTTTACTTTTAATCTAATTTATGAATGAAATTTGTCATTATTTTTATATGGGTAATCTTAATTATTAAAGTTTAAATTATGGAATAATATTTGTGATAATATTAAATACACTGCTTTCTAATTTTATATTATATATATATATATATATATATATATATATATATATATATATATATATATATATATATATATATATATAAATACTATTCAAAAATCCCTTATATACATACGTTTATTTACATGCTAAATACACACAAACACACACACACATATACACATATACCTATATATTCATACATAAATTACATACATACATTTATAAATGATTAATATATTTTTATATTTGAAATTTATTTAGATTTTTGTTTAATTTCATAGTTAATACATAACGTTATATACATATATATATTTAATTATATACAAAAATACATTAATATTTTACTATCCGTA